CGTATCAATGGATGTCAACTGCAATTCTTGGAGCTTCTCCAATATCCCTGTTGTACCAGATATTACATGAATTTGTTGGTCACTAATCTTACTTATACTCAGCCTTCTCAAGTTGGAGAGTTTTTCTAATGAGCCAGCTTCCAAAAAGATTCCAGGCAGCCCCTCTAAAGTTTCTATGTTGGGTAAAGACACCACATCTCCGACTTTCGAATTTTCTATCTTAGACTCAAAGATACATGTATCGCACATGAGTAAATGCTTCAAATACTTCATCCTCAAAATATTTTTTGGCAAATCACAATAAAAAATTGCTCGTTGAATATCCAACGTCACCAATTTCTTGAGATTCTCTATACTAGAAGGCATCCTTTTAAATCTCCCACTCAACTTAAGGTAAGTCAAGATACTCAGGTTTCCTATCTCATTAGGAATTAATGCTTGGCTTGAATGACTGAAATAGAGCAAGGAACGAAGTTTTCTAGTTCTAGAATTTGAAAAAGAATATTCATCAGCTTCAATGGTAAGTCTACGAAGTTTTGAAAAAGAATTTGTGTGTGTATCATGGAATCTATTTTGGTATCTACAAAAGAAGCTGTTCTTCTTGGCTATATTGATGCAAAGAACGCGTAGACAATCATGTATACGACAACGTTTTACTCTTCCATCCACATCTCTTCTCAAAACTTGGATTAAATTTCTGTCACTCAAAATTTCTAATTTAACAGCCACAAAATCATCAGGATTTTTAATTTCAACCGGGATCAATTTCTCGGCAACCCAAGCCTTGACCAACTCAGACTCAGAAATTTCTTGCTCTTCTGGGAAGAGGCCAAAGTAAAGAAAGAAAGGCCTCAAGTCCGGAGGTAAATCTTTGTAACTCAAATACAAGATCTCTGAACAATTATTTTCAGTACTTGTGCTCAAGATGTCAAGCACCTCGTTCCAAGCAAGTTTGCTTCTTCTTCTCTGTCGCAACATACCCACCGCAACCACAATTGCCAATGGCAAGCCACCACATCTTTCTACTATCTTCCTAGCGATACCTCCCAATTCTTTTGTAAGAAATCTCTCATTTATATTTTCTGAAGAAGATTTGATCAGCTTGGAGAAGAGTTCCCAGCTCTTTTCTTGATCTAAGTGTTTCAATTCAACCAAAGACCTTTCATCACCAATATATCTGCCTACATCAGTATATCTAGATGTAATGATAATTCTGCTACGAGTTTTTGGGTTCATGGGGATAATGTTTTTTAACTCATCCCATACTTTAGTTGTCCAAATATCATCAAGAAGAATTAAGCAACTTTTTTCATTGAGCAGAGAACGCAGGTTGACCTTCCAATT